AAATCAATCAGATATTTAAAGTAGTGGTCAAAAATATAAAATCAATATATTTTCGATTTTATTCTATGGTATTAAACATTTAACTCAAATCAAAACAGAATTTCGAATAGCCCATGAAGTTATCCATTAAATGCATGTCATGCAAAATTTCCATAGATGAATTATGAAAGGTAGCTTTCTCAGTTTTCAAGTTTTAGAAGAATATGTAAAAATATTAGTTTTAAGAGTACAATATTAAAGAGCAGAAAATCTTGAATATAATAAGGAGTCATTGCATTTCTTTTGATATTTCCTTAAAAATTTATCAGCGTTACAAAAAATGAACGATAATCGAATTTATTATAGCATTGCTAAAAAATGTATTTTTTGTTTTTTGTGATGCTTATAGATTTTTAAGTGAAGGCCATAGGAAAGCAGTGATCCCTCGTTTTATTAAAGTTTTAATGCTCTTTAAGATGATAATCTAAAAGAGCAATATTTTTATACATTCTGCTGTAGCCTAAAAACTATTATGTTTGGTTTTTCGAGAAATCTTCCTCTCATAGGCCGTCTATGAAATTTTTTTATGGAATGTATTTGATAGAGAACTTCATAGACTATTCAAACTACTATTTGAATTTCAGTAAAATACTTAATATCATAAAAAAAAAGAAAAATATATTGGTCTTACATTTTTTGACCAGTACTATACTAGAGATTCGCATAACATCAAAAAGTTCTTTATTGTAAATTTTATACATTGTCCTTTTCTTGAAGATTCGTCGATGCTGTTAGTGTTCCATATCGTGTTCATCATTCTCGTCTTTCATATCGAAATATTGCTAAACAAGTATATCTTAATTGTCTTAATTTCATTCATTCGTTTTTATTTTTGTCTTTCATTTAGGTTGATTTACCTGGTCATATAATTAGTTTACGACATGATATTGCTCATCATCATGAATTACCATCATTATATGATTTACTTGCTGCTATTGATTTTAGTAAACAATGGCTTCGGGTAAATCAATGACATCGGTTTCATAATGAATGTTTTTTTAATAAAGATTTTTTTTTTCTGTTATTAAAATAGAAAAATTGTCTTGATGATTTAGTTGAAACAATGGCACTTTTTAGTCAAGGTTCATATAGTGAATTACTTGAAATAGTTGCTCGTGAAACTGTTCAAGCTTATGTTGAAACTCGTCTTAATGTTTGTTTTTTATTTTCTTGTTTGATTATGATAACCAACAAGAAAATTTATTTTCTTATAGTTTTTAACAAAACGAAGTAAAAAACGATTACAATTAGTTGATGAACGTGTTGAAGAAATACGTAAAGCATTACAAATGTGTAATGGAAAGTAAGTAAATATTAAATCATATTGATATATTTGTCTAAAGAAAAGAATTTTCTTTAGAGAAATAATGGCTGAAGTTTTTGTACGATGTGGCAATTTTATAATGGTACCAAATCAATTAACACGTCTTGCTTACGAATCAGGTAAATAACTAAAAATAAACAAAGAAAATCTTCAAAATTTTTCTAATGAATGTTTCATTTATAGAATCATCTGATCTTCTTCCAACATGTGTAATTCAATTTTGGAAACCTATTATTCAAATAATTCTTAATGATTATCATTTTATATCATTAATTATTGATAAAATATTAAATTTTATAACTGATTATTATCGTTTACCATCAAATGATTTTTCAATAATTGATCGACAAAGAATTGGTTGGGTTTTTTATTTAACTGAACAATCATCAACTAAACTTGATCTTTGTTCAATATTTATACGATTAGTACGTATTCTTCAACCATGGTTTGCTGAATTACTTTCACAAATGGTTGTTCGTATGTCGGATGATATGAATGGAACTCGAATAGCATTAATTAGTGAACAAAAACGTGATACACTTCTTCGAACAATTTCTATGTTTGCTAATCCATTTGAAGATATTAATGGTGATCAATCAGCTATAATTTCATCACTTGAAATTTTACCACGTAATGAATTATATAAGAAAGAAATGATTATGTTTAAGAAACGTAAGATTAAAATAATTTGTTGAAGAAAAGAAAAACAGACTTTTTTTTTTGTTTTGTTATTATTATCTTTTTTTTTATAGGTACAGCATTAGCTGAAGTTCCAGCTGGTTTACTCAATAATGAAGATGAACAAAATTTAGAAATGGATATTGATCTTTCAAGAACTGATCGAAATTGTATGTTATAGTTTTTGAAAAATAACTTTTTTTTATAGATTTATTTTTCATTAGTTCTTGGTTGTACAACTAAACGAAAATTAGTGGATTCATTACCAATGAAAAGAAAAAGAAAAAGTTCACGTATGAATATTATTCTTTTTATAATTACGTACATTGTATTATATTAATTTTCTAGCTTCAATCGATCCAAAATTTTTTCATGATCTACTTTATCCTCGACATCATTATCGATATTGAACATTTTTTTTTTTGGGATCATTAATTCATAATTTGTGTTCTCAGTCAGATGTACTTTTCTTGTTGTTATTCATTATAAAATTATTTTTTCTCAATTTTATTCAGAAAAATGATAGTGAGAAAAAAAGATGACAAGTTTAATGCTTCGAAAAGTTCTCAAAAAAAAATGGCTGTGTGTTGATAGAAATGCTTTTTTAACATAATAATAATAAAAGGCTTAATTCATAAAACACCGATTCTACTAGACACTGCAGCTTCTATATGCTCTTTTATTAAAAAAAAAAAGCAATAGACTACAATTAAGTCCCTTTCAAAACTATGAGATGCGCGATCAGAAATTTCTGACCATGGAATACAGAGTCCATATTTCAACCATGTATGATCGTGAATGAACGTATTTTATTGCAATACGAATAATATACGCTGTTTTTACCCATAGATCACATTAATCTCAAAAATTATATTTAAAATCAATCTCAAAATAAAAATAAATATTTTACTTTTACCATTTAATGAATTGATATCGTAATATGATCTAAAGTAAAGAAATAAATATTCGAATACATAACTTATACTTATTATTTGTCAATCTAATGGCATAACATAATCTAAAATAAAGAAAAAAAGTAAAGTAAAATCAATAGCTTTGTACTTACTATTTCTTAAACTGATGTCATAATAAAATCTAAAATAAAATAAAGTAAAATAAATGCTTTATGTTTACTGTACATTGTATTAGTGCGATAGAATGCTCTCAAATGAAAGTACTGTTACCTTCTGCTATTTGTTTAATTATGTGCACCCACTTTCGCAGCAGTTTAACAAAACTAAGCGTACATTGAGTGTATATCATAACAAATAGTGATATATGACAGTCGGGAAAGCGAAAATTGGTCGAATGAAAAATGGTCGAACGAAAATTGGTCGAATGAAAAATGGTCGAACGAAAATTGGTCGATACGAAAATTGGTCGACGCGAAAATTAGTCGAAAATTTTGTAATAAAAGAACAAAAGCTTTTTCCTAAACAGAAGCTCGAACTCCAACCTGTATCTTGAGGGTGAGAGTGAGGGTGAGAGCGAGGGTGAGAGTGAGGGTGAGGGTGAGAGTGAGGGTGAGAGTGAGGGTGAGAGTGAGGGTGAGGGTGAGGGTGAGGGTGAGAGTGAGGGTGAGGGTGAGAGTGAGGGTGACGGTAAGGCTGAGGCTGAGGATGAGGACGAAAAAGTAGGCGTATTCTCAAGACAGGAAACATTACTATAATAATTAGAAGGAGTTGCTCATTATTTCTGAACTACTAGACCTTTTTTTTATTTGTCTAAGTTATTTGATTGGATCACTATTATTCTCTAATACTAGCATATTAATATAATTAGTGTTTACTTCGCATGCACACTTCAAACTTCGAGCTTCTGTTTCAGGAAAAGCTTTTGTTCTTTTATTACAAAATTTTCGACTAATTTTCGCGTCGACCAATTTTCGTATCGACCAATTTTCGTTCGACTATTTTTCATTCGACCAATTTTCGTTCGACCATTTTTCGTTCGACCAATTTTCGTAGACCCATGACAGTCGTATCTTTTCAAGAGGAAAATTACGAGGGTGTGAATGGGATGTGTGCGTGTAGGTTTTGAAGAGTGAGAGATCATGATAATACCTATCTCAATAGCCTTGCCTCGATATGTTGAACTTTGGAGATACATGGATATCGAGTTGGATATCCATTTCGTTACACTAAAACCACTCAAAACCGTTAATATAGCGGTATATTGGTACTATAAATTCATTATGTGAAAATCCTAACTCCCACACATTAGAATCTCGATACCTGAGTTATTAATTTTTTGAAATCCCTCACTAATTAGATAAGTAAGTTTTCTGTTATCATACTATTAGACGAATATTCTCTCTTTAACATTAATAATTTGTTCGAGAGAGCAAAATAAATATAAAGATTTGATTATTTTTGAAAAGTAGAGCAATGAATGTCAAAAATAATTCAGAAGAAAAATCACAAGTGAATAATATCGAAAGAATTAAAAATCATTATTGCTTCTGAAAATGATGATTTGATTCTCATTTTCATAGATTTGCAGCTATCGATAACTTTCATTTATGCTCAATTCTCTAAAAAGTCACTTATTAAATTTATTTAACAGAAGATTATTTGCTTGATCGAATTGACAGAACATAAAAATATTTATAATATGTAACTATTTTTTTGAAGATTGGCCCATCACCTACAAGTTTGAATACCATCATGTTTTCACGTAGTTTTTTTTCTTTCTTAACATTGATGCACTTTACATCAAATATGTCTTCTACAGTATGTCCGCTGTTCTCAATAGGTCAGACACAAGTTTAACTTATACTTCTATTATTCAATTTAGCTGCAATCGATTCATCTGAAATTCCTTGAAATTCATTTATTTTTCTACAAAAATAAATATATACTAGTATGTATTCATTTGCAAAGCAAAATGAAACAAAAGCTTCGCATTTAAGATGGCAAAAATAATGAAGTTTTTCAATCATATCTAAATATGGTTTTTTTTATTTAAACAAATATATGAACCAATCGTATATGTTTTCATAGGTTGAAGTTACTACATAGACGATACTATTTTTATATTCATATTTATCAATACGAAAAAATTTTTCACCAATGAATGTAACAAGTAAGTCAAATAATGAAAAAAAACGATTTCGTACAAATTGTCCATATCGAGAAATAACATTTTTATCTATTAAATCAACTTGGTTTTTAGTTCGTCGAGGAAAAAAATATAATGGATAGTTTTGAAGATAAACAAATAGATTTGATTGAAATACATATTTATAAACATTTGTTAAGTTAGATAAATATAAATATACAATAATAGTAATAATAAGTAATAAAAATATCAACCATCGTTTTGAAAAAGTTTTCTTCAAAGTCATGTTATTCATTAATATTGGTAATTGTTTTGATCGATCTTCGTCTTCAATTTTCTTGATACTACTATCGAAATTGATTGATCGTTTTGCAAGACTATTACTAATTGTATACTCATGTTCAGCAATAAACTCAAACTCAGATTTGTGTGTTTTCTTTATTCGTTTGATTTGATGATGAAAAATAGTTGACTCCGGTTCAACTGATGTAATGATTTCTAAACTTGGTAAATCATTTTTATTTATAGGCACATGTCTCTTTAATGAAAGTGATCGTTTCGCTCGTATTATTTTCTTTTGTTCCAACGTATGAATTGTATTAGCTGCTAATGATTTCGTTTCAAAAAATGCACTAATATCTTTAAATGTCGTTGGTATGAAAATCTTGTTTTTGTCAACATCTGTTGATGAAGACATAGACTAAATTAAATTTAATAGTTTAAAAATAAAAGTAAATAAGAAATTTCTTCATTGTTTATAAAAAAAAAAAAAAAAAACAATAAAAAACATAATAAAATTGAAAATATGTCTTCATTGAAAAGTGGATGCAGCAAAAACGAACATCATTTCACGTACTTTATTTATTTTTGCAGTTTTTTGTTGTAAAATTTCATTAACATGTTTATCAAATGTAAATTCACTCATGTCATAATTCATATTTGTATTCAATGTTCGTTCTTTTCTTTCAATATCAGCATTCATAACCTGATTATAATTTGTATTTGTTGCTACAAATGAATCTTGTGGTGTAGATTTTATCATATATTTATTATGTCTATCATTAATTGATTCGCTAATAGTAACATTAACATCACTTGTATTCGATAGACTATCAATCATTACTTCATGATCATTTGATTCAACAATTGTTGGTAGAACACTTTGGTTTTTATTAACAGTTTGATGAGAACTTTGTTTACGTAGTTTTATAGATATTGAACTTGTTCGATCATTATTTACTAAATTTGAACATGAAATATCTTCATCTTCTTCAGTAAGAATTTCAAGATTCGGTATTGATGATGATTGATATGGACGGATAACAACACTTGGTGAATCATCTCGAATACGAACTTTTGTTGATGTTGGCCATGAACAATAATGATGCATTATTGTAGATGAAGACGAAAGATTACGATGACGAGTCAAATTATTACCATTAGATGTGTTCACTTCAAATCGGGTCTTCCACATTGTGTAACAGTACACGAATATAAGAAGAAAAAAAGAAAAATAAATAAAGATGACACGATTAAAAATGAACTATAAGAAGCGGGCAAAATGAAATGTTTTTATAAACGAATAATAGAATGAATCATTTTTTTTTTGAAGACAGAAAAAGATAATTAATATTCTCCTTCTTTTCATATCGTTGTTTTTTGTTATGAGTATACATTTTATCACGTTCGACAAAAAAAATATCTATGTATACAGTTTATTCAATAATAAGACTTTAGAATCGTCAAAGATTATTTAAAATGTAATTTTGTGAAGGATATATATTTTTTTCCCTTTCTCTTTTGACCTTTTTCTTGATAAAAATCAGAAAACAAAACAAGATCAAATATTTTTCTTTATTTAATAATAAGTTGTATCCTTTGGTAAAGATACAAAAAATCAATATGAAAGATCAAAATCGACATCAATCAATGACATATGCAGAAAAAAAAATGTCAAAATTGTGATTAAGATCGATATTTAACACGCGTTCTAGAGTATTAAATCTAGATTTTTGAATTACTCGATAATATAACTGACACAATTGATGTCAATTTATTCATGAAATTGAAAAATAGTGCTACCAGATTATTTAGTAAGTTTTATTGGAAAGACCAAAACAATAATCGACATAGCTATCTTCTTCTTTTTCATGCTCTTTCAACATAGCTGCCATCTGAATAAATCATTTTACAAAAGTCTCTCCTTCTAAAATCACCAATTTTCTCTTTCAATGTAAGCCGAATTGTTATGTCATCTAACGAGAAATCTAGTTAAATCGAAAAATGTTGTGATTGCTGTTCAGATTCACATTCATTGTCATTTTATCTTAATACATAAAGTAATCAGAACATTTTATGTGAAAATTATGTCACAGTTCATGTTTTTATAAAAAAAAAAAAAGATTTATAATTTTTTGATATTACATGTGAAAGTACAATTGATTAATTTAAAATTTAAAATCTGCACGGTAAGAATTTCAATTCGAATTTGTTTTTGAATAAACTAAATTTCACTGACGTTTTTGTTTTGTAAGTTGTTGCTAGTAAATGTTGTTTTTCTATCAGTTATACAGCTGTTGATTCAATCAATTTGACTTTTGTTTGTATTTAAGATCTGAATCGATGGGCAACTAAATGAAGAAGTGATATGACTGTCCAAGATAATGATACGAGAACACCGCCGGCAAATGTATAACTCGAACTATAAAAAACATTAAACGTGATTTCATAGAATAGAAACAAAAGAAAAACAGAATAAATACAGTATATATGTGTAGGTATAACGACAATCAGTAACAACGAGAAACCAATTGAAATATATCGATGGTGTACAGACTGTTGTTAGACATAATTGACATGTATATCCAAAAAGAAGTAAACTTGATACGAGAAATTTGACCACGACTATAGACATCTTGGAATCATATTCTTTCTGACAACTGAGAGGTAACCTGTATGATTTTATATTAGAAGAAGCTAATAGAAAAAGAAAAAACAAATCTCACTCACCAAGTAAGATCCCATTTAAATATCAATGCACCTAGTCGTCGAGCATAATGAAGAATAAGTATCAAGAACAAAATGACAAGACCAATTTCCCATGGAAGAATTTTGTTATACGAAAGAATAAATATAAAGTGAATAAAAGTAAAAATTATCGAGGACAAGAAATGGTTACAGAATAGAGAAGGATTATTATAATGATAATATTGTTTGTATAGCAGAATTAAATAACCAATAAGCGAAATTACTAATAGAAACCAGTGTAAAGACGAAATAAAAGTTAATGTTAGTTGCAGTACCAAATGAAATAAGACGAGTTGTATACTAAGACGTTTTTTCAACATCTACAAAGGATATTTAGTTCTGTCGGACTTTCTTCAGTAATATACACAATAGAAATTTAATGGAACAGTCAAAACGATAGACTGAGATATCTTCTATCAAATAAAATAAAGAAAATTTTCAATGACTATTCAATTCACGATTTCATTGTATCAAATTTTTCATCGTCATTTCTATTTTTTGTCCCAAATTCTGAGATAATGATTAAAAAAATTCTTTATTAAAAACTCAACGAAGAAAATGACTTATTCCATGATTGTATTTCATTTAGAAGAATCAATGGATATTTTATTAAATTTTTCAATAAATCTATGAAATCTATTGAGAACAGAATTTTGTCAAAAAAAAATATGAGAGAATTTTCTGAAGGAATTCAAAATATTCCACAAGTGTATAAAAATTAGATTAAATTGTGAACATTCCAAAATTCACAATTTCTATAAACTTGTCTATTAATGAAAATTTGAAAGAATTATTTATCATTCCAAAAATGATTAGCCCATTACGTTAGTAAATAATAATACTACGGAAAATCATGTTTTATTGCTAATCAATTCTGATTGTAGATTATCTATTAATGAAAATGAATTGCATCAGACGGCAATCAGTTCAATAATAATTCATTTAATATAAATTTTCACTATATAAGCTAATGTATAATGACTATGAACCAAAACTTAGATATAGATATATAATTTATTTGTTATTGCTGCCCATAATTAATGTATTCGATAAATCTACAAATGTGTATTTTGTTAATGAAGAGTCATAGAAAAAAATAAAATAAAATAAAAGCTTACTATTATAGTCAATACAAGATTACCATTCGGATTGTTTCTATTGATTGAATACATTTTTTTATTTGATATTTTTTATCAGTAAACTTAAGCGATCTGAAAAGTAAAAATGAATATCATCATCTATTTTATTTGACTTTTGGCAAATCCTCTAGCAAATGATCGATAGTTTTTGTAGCTAAACGCGTAAAATTGACTAAGATATGAGTGTACAATGAACGTGTCTCTATGCTGACGATCGAATAATTCAGTGTATCAAGTTGTTGAATGCCATCAGAAGAATAACGAAGCCATTTACTTAGTGTATCGTATCTTAATTAAATAGAAATATATATTATTAATATTTGAAAACGAAAATCAAATACCTGTTAAATGCAGCTACTTGTTTCTCATGACGAATCATTTTATAACGGCCAACGCTATTAGGTGGTCGATTAATACGATAACCCGCATGACGTAATCTAATAAGCTGAAAGGGAAGCGCGACAATCAAAAATGATAAGTTACAAACCTGTGATTCATATCTAAAAATGAAACAAATAAAATGACATATTTCCTTTCTTGAGTTACACTCACCATCATCTTCGAACTAATGTATTTGAGGAAAAAACAATGATTTGATGCATAAATTAGATAAAACACTTACTCCCCAACCCCAATATAAATTCGACCAACCATTTGCTTTAATGAATTGATCTTTTGTTACAGCAAGAACACCACCAATTAAATCATTATACATCAAACTGAAGAGAAAGAAAGATCATTGGATTTATTGAAGAGTTTAGTAATGAAGTCAGTTGATATTGATATTGATATTATATCAATACTTTGCGTTAAAATTCTGAACATATTCATAATAAATGATTTCAGATTTGAATATTCAATTTCATTGGTTCATACGGAAATTATAAATATATTTCATTGTTACATTTGATATTTAATAAATGTATAACATCTTGCTGATATATTTCTCTCAAAAGCAAGATATTCTATAGATAAATCTGGATATCTGATAAGAATGTTTAGAAATCTTCAAACGAAAAGGTTACAGAGTCTAAACTTGCGTATATCAATAGAGTTTGATTCTCTTAAATAAGCATCCATGTATTTAAGTCTGATCAACAAACTATCAAATGAAGTTAAAAAAGTTTTAATTCTACTAAGCTAGATGAAACATTGCAACTAAAATGATACATATTTTAATTATTTTAAATTGTAATTTAATATGTTTCAGAGTTTTTCTAAATGTATTGACATGAATCTATTGCAAATAATCTAGTTTCAAAGATAATTGGATTTTATTTTGATCTTTTTGATTTTGTTGTAAGAAAGAACAAAGTTATTTATAGGTTCAACTTACAAATAACGTAATTCATCAACCGCTGGTGCTAGATGTCTTGGTCCATGTTGATCACATTCATATACATTATAGTCATTTTCAGGTATAAGATCAACATCATGAAACATGAAACAATCGAATATTGGTGCAGATATTTTTGATGCATGATTAAATGCTATATTCATGATTAAACCTTTGTTAAAGGTACCATTGCCGAACTATAATTATCAATAAAAAATGTTTTAGTTAATGTGAAAAAAAAACAAATAAATTAATAATATGAACCTGTTCAACAACAAATATTCGATAGGATCGTTTTTGTCGTTGTAAGAATGGATGAAGATGATGTAAAAGTATTTTAAGTTGATATTCACGATTACGAAATGGAATTATAATAGCAAGATGTTGTCGAGGTGTACAGTCACTTGGAGAGTAAATTCCACCTGAAAATAATGACAAAATGTTTTCATTTGGTAATATTTGAGATTTTATATGTTTGAATTAAGAGCTATCTAGAGTTATTCATCAGAGCTAAAAAATCGCTCGTTGTAAATAATTTTCAATGAATGATTCACTATCGATAAAGAATTTTAAAAACTCTATAGAAAAAACACATAATGGCAAAGTAACAGATGGGCGTATTCATAGGATAATTTTTTTTTCCTGTACACTCCTTTTATTTTATTAAACTGATACAATACTTCTGCTTATTGTCTATCTTTTCTTTGAGACCATTAATTTCGTCTCTTCTTATAAGTGAGAATGAAAATGTTCACAAAGTTCATAGATCTGTATTAGAAACCAATTCCATAAATTTATATAGAATTATTAAAAATTTTGTACAATTGAAAAATAGTTCGTATTTCTCTTTAAACAATTGACACGAAAAGTATGTCAATATTTATTACATACGCAAAATAAGTCAAAACGTTCTCAATATATATTTTAATGCAAAACTAATTATCAGTCTTCGTAACATGTCTTCAATTGTTTAGAAACTTATATTTGTTGAGAACTATTAAAATGTATGGTTTCAACGAAATTCACATCATCAGGTTTTCATTTTTCGTAGTGAGTTGTTCTGGGACAGATTTACTTGATAATTTGATCTTGATACATTAACTTTCATAAGTTTGACTTGCATTTAATAGATAGCTTGTATCAAATTACTCAACGATCGCAAAGCCGTGACAAATTTAAGTATTCAAATATTTCAACATACGATTATTTATAAGTATTTAGGCAAAATATTCATTTATATAACCAAAAAGGGAGTCCTACAATATTTATAAATATTACATCAAATATTTTCAAAGAATTTCAAAAAGTAAAGTTAACATAAAATCTATTCAAATATGACACAAAGTATTCTAAATGCATCGAATACTTTGATATGTTAATAGGATATTAGAAAATTTTACTCGTTGAATCTTCGTTATATTAGTTAAATAGATGGATTCAATCTTCTATTTTGATTTCATCATAGACTATAAAAAAAGAAGAAAAAAACGACTTGATTATAATCCTGACATTATTGACTCCTGTTGAATTATATTCACAGAACTGCGATGTTTATTACTGATATCATTATAACTATTTTGTTACGTTCTCATTTGTCTTATTGGCATTCATATGTGACAATTCCATTTTTATTTACCTGTTTGCACATGTTCGATACGTTGCTCAATATCTTTCCATTCCATTTTCGATGACATGTCAAGAAGTCCATTACCTAAAACAGATAATAACAATAGACATTCGACAAAATATAAATCACGCTTAATCCTACATATACCTTGGAGAGTAGGCGGATAGAGTGGACATAATTGAGGGTTTCCTTTCTCATTATCTTCCATCATGTATTGATTAGCTGTTCTTTCATCATGCTTGTTACAAAGATGAATAGTGCAAATAATTGTGATTGCAAGAATAATCACCGGTAAATGTTCATTATTTTTTAGTCGGAGAATTCTTCTATTATAAATCATCGATCTGAAATTACAAACGAATAGACTATTTGAACGCAAGGTCTCGACGATTAATATTGAATGCCATCAGGACAGCAGATGGAACTAACAAAGTTGCATATAATAACGTAAAAATATATCAAAAAAAAGGAAAGAGAACGATTTATTTTTAATAATAACATTTTTTTTTCGCTTCTTTCTATCTCTACTTTCGTGTATTGAGCATGTGTAAGTTTTTCTTGTTATTTGTTCTTCTATTGAGGATCAATGCGATTCATTGAAACCTCAAAATAAAATAGATATTGATTTCAATAAAAATTAAATGCAATAGTTTTTAAAAAAATGTTACTATTGAATTTAGTATTTTTATTTTCAATTATTGTATCAATTTATCTTAACTAGAATGTTTCTTAATATTGCAAAAAAATAAAACATATCGTTAAAAAAAATTGATAAATAAAAATAACCAGAAAACATAAAAATCTCAATTACTCCACTTAGTACTATGAACAGAATTAATCGAGTATTAAATGCTTGATTGTCATGAATTTTTTACTGATAGTTTCAAATTAAATGCATAGGATCTTTCTTTCATCAATCGATGTCATTTCTAGTTATAGTGAATTTTTATTATTTATACTAATTTCTATTTACATGATAATTGGTGATAAGTACTTAGTTAACTGGGTTATTTCATGTTAGAAACAGCAAATTATCACTTCTCTAGTGCTTTATTAGAAACAATTGTCACGTATTACGAGATATACATCAATATTATATATAATTTGCATAGTTTTAGTTTTTAATATATTCAACATACGATATTTTGAATTATACATCAATCGATCAGTAGTATTGGACTTGAAAATTAAATTCAATCATTAAAGAATTATTTTAAATATTTAACAGTTCAAATCAAAAATTCAAATATTCTCATTTGTCAAGATGTGTTTTGAATGTATATTGTTACGCGTATATAAACATTTTGTAGTAAATGGATTTGTTGAATAAACATCTATTTTCATCAAAATCTTGGATATTTTCAATATTTAATGATTATAAAATAAAAAGAGAAAAAAAAACATTCGATGAAAGAATATATGAATCTGTTTTTTTTTTCTTACTTCAAGTTTTACTCTCAGGAAAAAAGTTAGAACCAAAAAGAAAATTATATTAAATATACTTGTCTCGTTATAAACAATGTCTATATACTTAACGATAAAAAGAGGTACGAAATTTATTTAAAAAAAAAAACTTTCGAAGTTTAATTATGTTTTGATGTAGTAAATGTTGCATCTGAGCCATGTGTTTTTTTTTTCGTTCTATGGTCAGGTAAGGATGACATCATGAAAGAGAGAGAGAGAGAATATTGTTGAATGTAATCATACGTGACCGTCATGCTTCACTTGTATTACGTTCTTTTTTCTATAACTGTTCGATACCTTACTCTGCGTTGATCTCATCTGTGTGTATTCTTTCCTATTTTGCTACTTCAGTTTATTATTACATCGAAATCTATGTAAAAGAGTAAAAGTCAAACTTACATATTTGTTCTAATATACATAAAGAAAAATTTATTTAAGATATTAATGAAAGCAACATTCTATAGTTATCTGACATTATTAATTCCAAATTTATTACAAAAGAGATAAATTTGATTTTTGTCTTTGAACAATATACAAATATGAGATATAAATAAAATTTTTGTTAAGAACCAACTTTTTGAAGTGACTTATTCAACAAAATAATAATAAGAATGTATAATCATAGAATATTCCTTAGATAAATGCAAAACGTTTCCTGTGGAAGAAAGAACAGTGATATATAACAGAACTAATTAATTCATCTTTAACTTTCCAACAAATGTCTGTATATATGTCAGTGCACAATTTGAAAGCAAATCATTTGATGTCAAATTCATTTCATTTAGAATAAGTTTTATTAGGTGCCGAGCTAAGTTACTAGACTATAAGGGGTACCACAGAAGTTCTGAAGTCATTTTAAAATGTATCTTTCTTACATCTAACAACAACAAACTTTTTGAAATTTTGACAGGCTATTGTACCTACTTAGCGATGAATAATTACAAAATTTGAGGTCTATAGATCTTACAATCGATGAGAGCCTATAACAACATTGTCATGTACTATTTTTTCAATATTCCTATAAGTTTTATTGACAAAACTCAATATACAGACCACTCAATGATTTGTATTTTTCTATCGATAAATGTTTAGAGCTCATCATAGCAAAAGATTGTGACCGTTGTAAGAAAATGTATCTTACGGGTGATACTATGCAAAATTCACTCGAACTATTGAAGCACAAAAAACAACTAAAGAATCGGGTAATTTACGAAATATCTGTTTATCAAGATGGTTAATATGATAATCAGAGGGATGACGATGGATGTTCTTAAATATGCTTTTGTTGATCGAATTGAACTGATAAATTGTGATGCAAAACTGACTGATGTTTGACCTATGGAAAATGTTTGGGATGCATTAAATAAGAAATTATGAGGGAGAGAATACAATTATATTGAAGAATTGAAAATGACATTCAAAAAGAAATGGAAGAAACTTAGTATTTCCTTATGTCAATGAATGATAGATGATATAACAGCACCATTGAAATTAGTAATTTATCAGGATAGTAATCAAATCAAACAACATCAATAACTTGATATGTTTCTTTTTATTTTGACAAGTTGTATCATCTTGAAAATCATAACCAAGATGATTAGGAAATTTGAAAAAAAAAATAGTACGTGACAGTGTTGTGATAGATTCTCATCTATAATAAAAGCTATAGAGCTCAAATTTTGTAGTTATTTCGTACTAAATAGGTGCAATAATCTGCTTAAATTTCAAAGAGTTTTCTTTTGTTGAATGCATGAACGTTACAATTTAAAAATATTTCAGAACTTCTGAAACACCGCTTATTTTTACTTTAACTATAGGGGTACATTTTAACAATAAGTCAAAACATTTGTTGGTCGAATTATTAATAGTTTCATTCTAGAATGAAAAATGTGTTGCGTAAATTCATATTTGAGATATCTAGAAATATTTGATGCTCACCAAATATATGATGAAACAAAAAAATGTAATCGTATCGACCTTTTCGGATATACCATGAAGCATTAATTTTCTAATGTGCTTCGGAAAGAACTTCATGATGAGATTTTCTCATCAGGTTTCGTCAGAGTTCTGTTAGATGACATGTTGATATATTTTGCTTTTCTTTATTTTTCTGATCGAAAGTTTTCGAAGCCAAATATTACATTGAATAGTAATTGCCTAAGTTCCTATTTCAGAAATAAACATCATAATTACAATAGCGAAGCAAAAAATCATTTATATATGGTCTTGCCAATTGATATAACATGACTAGTCAAAGCATATCCGACATCTATTTATGATTAATAACATAGCTTTCACTGTTAAAACGTCGTTATTATATGTACTAAGTGAGTTGTTTATTTCGAGATGGAAACTTGTATTGATTTATTCGGTGTTGTTTGCAGTGGAAGTTGATTTTATAAGGTACTATTTTACTATATTTCAGCTATGTTTTCAACGTAAGAATATTCCTGTTAATAGGATCTAAAATTTTGACAGGGATCATTTTGAATGTTTCGTCGAATTTCTTTCGAAATGCACTAAACTTTCTTTCAAGATATTAAACGCACAATGTTCGTGAATGCTAAATATTTTCTTTTCGGCTGATATTCGACCCAATTGTGACCAAAATAACTGAACTTTCTAACAAAATAAATGAGAAACTTGAAATCAGTGATTCTCTTAGAATTGCGTCGAAAAATAGATCTAGTCAAAATATTGTTTTAGGCGTTCTTAAGTTATTTTTAAATTTAGAAGTGACTTTTCACATTCAAATTGATGTTTGACTGACTCTATATTTTAAAGTAGTGCCAAGGGAACTAGAGCTGAGTTTTTGGAGGACTATCTGACATCTATAGATCGAATCAGTTTTTATGCTAGTTTCAAATAGTACATCGCTACTTTCAAAGTACAATAGGCAGAAAGTTTTGTCCTATATGTCCTCATATGGTACATACAAATGAACAATGTTATCGAAAGAAAAAATGAAAAGAAAAATATTTAGTCAGGCTTCTATTTAACATTTGATAGAAGAAAGAAAGAGTTTTTGTTCAACATATAATTCAAATTGAAAGAATCGAAGACGAGAAAGAAAAATTTTCATATAAGTACTGAGTCAGCCTTGCACAGTGGAAATCAAATTTAACTGTCTAATTTGATCGACAATCGATTTCTGACATCTGAAATAACTATAGAGAAAATAAGAAACTCATTTTTGAGAGGAAGCTAATTTCATTACTTAACGACTCTTCCTTCTTTATTTATTAGCTTTCGATGTAATCAGTTTTTCATCAAAAATTCGTATGCCAGTTAATATTAGATGTTAGAAAAGAATTAGCAGACATCACTATTATTCTGCTAGTCATATGAAGACATTTTTTGGGTATTTAAAAGGACATTCTTGTACTGCTTAACTTTGTAAAATACTTCAACGAATAGTTCTAAAATTTTTAGACAAAATAGAATTTCCTGACTAAGACGAAGACAACACTAGACTCAACATATTTACATAACTCATTCAAGTCAATACACATGACGTACATGTAAAGCGATATATTTAGAATCTAAATCTTCAATTGAATATGAACTTTACTTTGCATGAATCTTATTTTTCAATTGTTTATACTTAAAACAATCGTGTGCTTGTGCGTTTATCAAAAATATTGAACTCTTTCTAACTAACGAATAGATATATCAATATCGATAGCTTCACGAGAAGGTTACTGATCGCTCTTGATTCAATACGAATACAACTTACAATTACTC